ACTTGATCTAACTTAGTATCATAAGATAACTAAAGAGTACATCCGGACAATTGTTTCCCAGGACAAAGAGCAAACTTCCGAATAGTGTTTCTTGTACCTAGTCCACCGACCCTTGGCCTTGATCACCATACGCACCCTCCTAGTCATGTTATCTACGAGGTTAGTGCAAACCTTTGCAGGGATCTTCTCGCACTCTTCCTGGACCCATACTTTTGCATAAGGGGGTGAGCACTAGGAAAATTGCGAAGAATTTTAGCGTATGCAAAATAAATGTGCATGATTTTAGATTGAATGTGATCTCTTAATATTGCCACGCTGAAGTGGGACCAAAGATGCCATTAGCCGATTGGTCCCGTCTTTTCAAGGGTCGTCTCCGTCGTACCGCTGTAGGGTAAAACCACGAACAGAGCGTCGAAAAATTGTGTATACGTTGTGAAACTGAGGGTAACGTAGCACGGTCAATTGTACACCATTGCACTATTAGAATCACGCTAGGATCTGCATGTCTCGTTACGGTGCAACAGTCGAAGAAGTCACGACTGCTCAAGAAGAATGCTTGAGGTGAGGTATGGTGAGGAGAAGGGTCACTCCAGCGCAACATACTCATGCTCTCCAAGCCATTCCAAGCCATTTGTCCCGCCTAGGCTTGGAATGGCTTGGAGAGCATGAGTATGTAGCACTGGAGTGACCCTCTTCCTCACCTGACCTCGACCCGGATACTTTTCCCCACCAGTCGAGGCTTCTAGACTGCTGCACCGTGACAAGACCCGTGGATTCTAACGTGATTATAATAGTTAAAGGGTGCACATTCAACCGTGCTATGTTACCCTAAGTTTCGCGGCGGATGCGCTAGTTTTTGCCACTCTGTTTGTAACTTTACACTACAACGGTACGACAAAGACGACCCATGAAAAGACACACCTTAGCGTGGGTAGTCTAAGAGATCACATTCAATCAGAAATCGTGTACAATACTCTTGCATACGCTCAAGTGCTTCGCGATTTTCCTAGTGCTCTCCCCCTTATGCAAAAGGGTGGGTCCAAGAAGAGTGCGAGAAGATCCCTGCAAAGGTTTGCACTAACCTCATAGATAACATGGCTAGGAGGGTGCGTGTGGTGATCAAGGCCAAGGGTCAGTGGACTAGGTACTAGAAACGCTGTTCGGAAGTTTGCGCTTTGTCATGGGAAACAATTTTCCGGATGTACTCTTTGGATATCTTTTGACACTAAGCTAGATCCAGTGTACTATTATGGATTATAGCACTGTGAACACATACACTATGTGCCCCTCCCAAAGCGTACCACCATTAAACATTAAGAATTTATGTACAGTGGTCGGAATGCCCAAAAACTCTCGATAAAGGAAAACATCCAGACAATTGTTTCCATAACTATAAGATATGAACCCCACGACTCCCACTACACCCTTAATTGAGAGTCCCACCCCACGGTCACAGCAAATTGTCAAGGACTTACAGACCACACAAAAGCTACTGAGGCTATTTCCAAAGCCAACTTTACTGCTCGACGGTACGCTGACAAGCATAGACAGGCTTTACCCGTGCCTTCTGGGCAATTAGTCCTACTTTACATTAAAAAATTAGGGTTAAGTTTGCCACACAAACTTCGTCTGAGATTTTGTGGACCCTTCCGTATCATTCGGATGATGACATGTGTCACTGCACAGTTACTGTTACCGGTCGACTGGCGTATCCATGATGCCTTCTATGCTAGCCTCCTTTGATAGTTTGTTGCGAACACGTCTGATCTCGACTTTCGGCAAATTTATCGTTGATCAGGCCCGTTCGTGAGCTACGGACCGAACCTCAAAATATTATCTCCCACAGAATATGACGTGACCACGGTCAACATGTTTGGGAGTTTCTGGTTCGCTGGGTTGATCGAACGTGCGACGACAACATGTGGGTCCCAGAAGCTACTCTCGACAACCACCCTTTGGTGCAGGCCTATTTACAAGATCGACCTACCCTAAACGTGGGTAGTTTCGCGTAGGAAGGGAAAAAGCATAAGGAATTCCAATTTCTTAGCGAATCCTTGCTAACACCAGAAACACCCCTGAACTTCGGAAGTCCTGACTCGGCTCGACAACCCAGGTCCCAAACTACGTTCGAGACCCCCAAGCATACACGTGGAGTCACATCTGAAACTTCTGAGCCCTGAGGCACCCAAACCACATCGCGTGTGTTACGTGGTCCTACTCGAGGCTCCCTTGCTGTGCTTGTGTTTAGCCCTGTGCCTCATTTGCATTCGACACACTTGAATCACTACCTCTCTATTGTACTATTCGATTCCCATTCGGAGATTATCATAACACCAGTTGCTTCTTGGCCACAATGACATTTTAGCCAATGTGGTATACACCATTTACATGCTTGCAAGTTCACCTTCTGTTTTTGCATATACACGTCATATGCTATTAGTGCATCGACGACTAGAGCAAGTATTTCACAGGGGCAATTATTCGCTAGGTGCAAACTCCACATACACAAGAAAACATGAGACCTGCCAATCAGGCACTATACAAGCATGCTTACATTTAATGCTGGGCATCCAATTATTTTCATTCCTAAAACCAATGCTGTCCGTGGAGAGGTCGACGACCCACGGCGATCGCTGGAGGTTTGAATGCACAAGTGCAACGCCGGAATCCGTTCGGCTTGCGAACCGAATGGAATCCACGCCCAATCACAGCGTGCCGCTGAGCATGCAGACAATGTCAACGTGTGCCCAATGGAAGTGGAAGCTTTGGGGCGGGTGTATTCACCTCCACCACGTTTCAATCCCTGCAGCGCTCAGTGCATCGTCGAGATGGCCCTCGTTCATTTGTGTCGTTATTGTTGCAACAAAGGATATTATGTATGTGGATGAAACTTGGCTATGCCGTGCATTGCGAAACCTGGGCAATGTGCCTACGTGAACATGGTCGACGCAAAAGACAGGCTCCCCGCTGCTCTACAGCACAGAAGAGACAATGGCCTACAACCTCGGAAGCGTTTTAAACAGAATTGCTAGGGTCGCACAGGGTCGCACAGGGGTATTCGCTACGTGGAGTTTCCTACATTCGCGGAGCTTGCACTAGTAGAATACGACCTGTAATGAGAATTCATGCTTCTGTACCAGTACTTCAGCCCGCATTCGGTATATAAGTCATATTCCCTTATCACCCGGGGGGCGATGCGGCAGATTTGCCTTCAAACGAATACTGGCGGTACGGTAGGGGCAACGTGGACTACGGGGTTTCCCCAGGAAATGGGGTGTTGTTTCTTGTGTACTATGCATGGGCGGCTTGACTGGAGTATGCAGCGACTGAGTAAAGGTCCAGTATAGAATTGATTCCGCAGGCGACAAACATGGACTGTAAATCAGTAACGAACAGTTCTGATTCGACATAGACGGCACTCGACACTAGACTAGACTTGACAATAGACTCTTGCAAAAAACCATGTTTATGTTCATCGACACAACCCAATTCCGCCCAACACACCACAAACCCCTTATCGCTAAGTTCGTAGGCAGAGCACACGGCTTTGACCTCATCCACATCACGCTCTCAGACAGCGTGCTGTAAACCATTCTCAGCGTACAAGCGCAGCACGCCGAAATGCACCGCCATGAAAGTACAGTGGCGGAAACAATTGTCCGTATGTTTTGCAATATTTTGGGTTTTTAGGCTTTAAGATCACTATACATTAAGCCTTAATGTTCAATGGTGGTACGATTTTGGAGGGGCACATAGTGGATGTGTTCACTGCACAAATATCTAGAATAGTGCATTGGATCTAACTCATATCCCAAAAGACATACAAATGGTACATCCGGACAAATAGTTCCAAGCAGAGAGAAAACTTCAAAAGTGCGTTTCTAGTTCCTAGCCCACCGACCTTTGGCCTTGATCACCGCCCGCACCCTCCTAGGTGTGCTGTCGATAAGGCTAGAGAAAACCTCGGCATGGATCTTCTCCCATTCTTCCTGGACCAGGTCTTAAAGCTCCAACAATGCAGAGGAAGGCCTTTTATGCTTGGCCAAGGTAAGCTCAGAGGTTGAGATTTGATGAGAAAGAATGCCACTCCAGGGCTACATACTTATGTTCTCCAAGTCATTCCTGCACTAGGCATGACAAATTCTTGGGGTCATTGTCCGCACCGAAATTACCTTAGAGGGGAATATGCTATAGAAATGGAGGGTCAATTCGAGTTTATCATGCAAAATGCCCTCATACAGGGGCTTGTCCATGTGCCCGTCAATCTTGCATATGAACCCCACCCCCGCACATGTCACACATCCCCACACCATCACCGATCCTTGTCCCCACCATCTGTTTGATTTGGAGGTGCTGCAGGGTTGTGCCTTCACGGATCCAGGCAAATGCGCGGCCATTGGAGTTGAAGCAATTGATGTTGGTCCCATTTGACCAGATTAGATGCTTTCGAACACTAATTGTCCACCCAGCATGCGACTCCACAAACTGCAGCCGGACTTCTAACCATTTCGCCCCCCTCCACCGCACTGCACCCTAATGCCTCTACCCAACCGAATCACCCCTCCAAACTGCTCTCTTCCTCTCTCGCAGTTATGTGTGCTAAACCTAGTTTAGTGCGCATAGCGTTGCTTACCTTTACCAGCCCCATTCACCACGGCCTTTAGGTCGTTTCGAACTTAGTAAGTTCGAAATCACTTAGATCATAAGGTTAAGCCATCGCGACGCCCCTGAGTCTGCCTGACGCCTTTGAAGCCTTGGCACGATGCTTATTTATTATGCCTAAGTCTATGTTTACTGGTTGTTGTTGCAGTGGAACCGTTTGCTCCCCATCCCCCTCTTTCCCCCCCCCTCCCCCTTCCCCCTCCCCCCCCTTTTCAGTGGTGTTTTTGCCCCTGCCCGTAATTTTTTTTGCCTGCCCAGACTAGAGTATACAAGGTCCCAATCCAAGCGTATTGCGTTTATATGCCAGCGTATATATGGTGGCGTATATACCACCATACGCCCATGGTGCAACTAAGTGCGCGAATACGAGAATAAGAGAGAATGAGAGAATGAGAGAATAAAGAAACCAGAGAATGAGTGAGTGGGCTAATGTGTGAAAGGAGGAGTGGGAGAATGCGAGAATAAGTAAAAAATGAATTTGAACACAAGTTTAAAGGTAGCGCACGGGAAATGGAAATGAGGATTGAAGAAACGAACGACGTATCAGATAGAGGTTCAATACATGGAAAGAGAGAGAAAATGGGAAGAGAGAGAGAGAGGGACAGAGAGAGAAAGAGAGAGAGAGCGAGAGAGAGAGAGAGAGAGAGAGAGAGAGAGAGAGAGAGAGAGAGAGAGAGGTAGTGAGAGAGAGGGGCAGAGAGAGAGAAAGGGAGAGAGAGGGGAAAAAAGAGAGAAGGGGAGAGAGAGAGAGAGAGAGAGAGAGAGAGAGAGAGAGAGAGAGAGAGAGAGAGAGAGAGAGAGGGAGAGGTAGTGAGAGAGAGGGGCAGAGAGAGAGAGGGAGAGAGAGGGGGAAAATGAGAGAGAAGGGGAGAGAGAGAGAGAGAGAGAGAGAGAGAGAGAGAGAGAGAGAGAGAGAGAAGGGGAGAGAGAGAGAAAGAGATGGGGGGGCAGAGAGAGAGAGAGGTAGTGTGTGTGTGTGTGTGTGAGAGAGAGAGAGAGAGAGAGAGAGAGAGAAAGAGAGAGGTAGTGAGAGTGAGAGAGAGAGAGAGAGAGAGAGAGAGAGAGAGAGAGAGAGAACAAGAGAGAGAAAGATGGGAAAGAGAGAGAACAAGAGAGAGAGAAAGAGGTAGAGAGAGAGCGAGAGAGAGTCCCCGCCAATCCCCTCATCAATCCCATCGCCCCTCCCCCTCCCCCCCCCCCCCCCCCCCGCCACCGGTCAATCCCGCCGTCATTGCCGCCGTCTCCTATCCTCCGTCAATTCCGTCTCCAATCCCGTCGCCTTTCCTCCGTCAATCCTGTCACCCTTCCCCCCGTCAATCCCGTCGCCATCCGCCCCGTCAATCCCGTCGCCATTACCCCCCGTCAATCCCGTCGCTATTTCCGCCGTCAATCCCGTCGCCATCCCCCCGTCAATCTCGAGATTGAAGCCCTTTACAAGAGAGACGGAAAAACGAATTTTAAAAGAGACAAAGGAACCCATAGAAAGACTTGCCTTGGGTAGGAGACAAGGTGGCAAGGTGGCGTGGCTGAAACAGCAATGGGAGAAGCGAGGGTAAGGACGAAGCGAGAAAAAAGAAAACATATAATATTAAAAACGATTATGTCGCCAGTGGCTCTGGATAGCACAACGGGTAGAGGGAAAGATGTATGTCCGGATGATTTGGGATCAATTTTCGACTGTACGCTTTAGGTGCACTCGATTTTCTAACTAGCGCTGTCAAACCTGGTAGTAAAATAGTTTCACTATTAAAAAATCAGATGTACAGTGATGAGAAGCAGGGATGTATGCAAACAAAATATAGTAACACTTCGTGCACAACTCTACATTTTTATCACATCAAATAATATTAGTCATAATCTTGGTGTAAAATGCAAAATAACATGCGTAAAATTACAAAACATGCAAAGACAGCTCCGCAACCCTAAGACGATTTAGTCAACTCTTGTTTTTTTTTTTTCGAATTATAAACATTTGGGAGTGGATTATAGCGTACTTTGCAATGGAAATTGCACCTTGTGTCAAACAACAGATATGTTATAATAGGCTAGATAGGTGCATGCTCTTAGAGGGTACAACACTCGAACAAAATCAACATGTTTGCCTAATTCTAGTTAACTTTTCTACTCCGAGATGGTATCACGCGCTAGGTTAGGTCCTCCCCGCCCACCCGCGCTTCCGCTCTCGTCCTACTCCTAGCCGCCCGCTCCTAGCCGCCCTGTAGCACCCCGTTAGCGCCCCGTCGGCCCCCTCTGGCCCGTTCGCGCTCGTCGGCCCCGTTAGTGCCCCGTCGCCCTCGTGCACCCCCTCTGGCCGTTCTCGCCCCGCCGGCCTGCTCGCGCCCCGCCGGCCCGTTAGCGCCCCACCGGCCCGTTAACGCCCCGCCGACCCATTAGCGCCTTGACGGCCCCGTTCGCGCCCCGTCGGCCCTGTTCGCGCTCCGTCGACCCCATGCGGCCCTCTGGAACCGCTCGCCCCACTGGCCCGTTAGCGCCCCACCGGCCCGCTAGCGCCCTACCGGCCCCGTTAATGCGCCCCTCTGGCCCTGCTCGCCCCTGTCTTCCTCCCTCTGTCAGCGGCCGTCAGCAGCTGCAGCAGTGGCGATGGTGGCGTCACAGCTCCGTCTGGACGCTGAGGGTCAGGCGCTCGACTTTGAGGCGTGGCTCGTCGACCTTCAGCGTCACCTTACAGGTCAGCGCCAAGACGGTCACTCCCTAGTTGTTCATGTCGATGGCCTGCTTCCCTGCCCCCTTGACCCTGCTGCCCTCCTTGATGCCCCCACCACTGCTGAGCGTGAGGCCTTTTCCCCTGCTGCGCTTGATCGTGCCATCTGGGACTCGCGGGACGCAGTCGCTCCTGCTGTCTGAGCGTCTCGCTTGCTATCAGCCGTGCGCTCCCGCTGTCTGAGCGTCCTCGCTTAACCACTGTATCGAACGCCCAGGCCTTCTTAGATGCTGTCATTGCGCGTTATTCCACCCCCGCCACTACCTTTGCTGGACGTCTGATCCTCCCCATGTTGTTCCCTGATCTTGCGTCCTTCCCCACTGTCGCCGACTTTGCCACGCACCTCCGCGCGCTTGAGGCGAGCTACCGCTGCTAGCACCGCGGCACGTCTTACTGGCTTCCCGCCGCCATTCTGCGCTACCCTTTATGTCATCGCCACGTGTCTCCCTGACCGCCTAGCCATAGCCCACGACCACTTTCTTAGTCAGCACGCGGGTGACCTCACTCTCACCGCCTTTGTCACTGCCCTCTCTGAGATAGAGACCTGCCAGCGCAATATCTCTCAGTCTAGCGGTACTGCGGTGGTGCCTATCTTTTAGGGCTGTGCTCCCTCCTAGTGCATTTACTCTGACGTCATTGCTGCTGTTGCTGAGGCCACTACTGCGGCCTTAGCGCAGAAGCGTCCGGGTAAGGGTCGCCGCCCCAAGGGGGGGGCATGGTGGGGGGAAAGGGGGTGGCGGTGGGGAGGTGGCGGCGGTGAGGGCGAGGACAGTGGTCCAAACGAGGGGACCGGGGCTGGTTCCCCAGAGCAGACGCAGCAGCAGACACAGCCTCAGCAACAGCAACAGCAGACTCAGCAGTCGTTGCAGCAGCAGCAGTCGCCGTGGGGACCCCCGCCACTGTGGTGGACTGACGGTGTTAGCGGTGGTGGTCGTGGGGTGGGCGGGCGCAACTCGGTGTCGGGTGGCAGCTCTAGCGCGGTCACCTGCCAGTACCAACTTCAGACCGGCCCTCGCCGCGGCACTGTCTGCCTCCGGCCCGGCCACACCGTCGACCGCTGCTACCGCCACCTGGACGACCTGCTCCGCCACCGCTTCGGTCCTGCGTCGGACCCTCTGGACTGGTACGCCCTGGCTCGCCATCGTGTGCCGATCTTTGAGCTTGACATGGATCAGATTAGAATGCTATGTCTGTCATGTATGCTGATGACTCTAGTGTGATTGGACCCTATTACCCGGTGTTGCCTAGCGTAGGTGTGTCCACTGTGTGTAGTATAGGCTCCCCTGCTTCGTCAGGCGTAGGACCGTCTGCCTTGTTTAGCCTAGGCTCCACACTAGCCCCTCCGTCGGCAGCCGCTAGCGCTTCCCTCTCCTTCACGCTTCACTCCGGTGCGTCTACCTCCTTCTTTCGTGACCAAACTTCACTTACGCCGCTTGCCGCCCCTGCCGCCATCAGACTTGCAGACCCCTCCTTCGGTCCGGTAGTTGCACGTAGCTCCACCACCCTTCCCTGTCCGGCTGTCCCCTCGGGCACTCTTACAGGCCTGCACATCCCCTCGTTCTTTAGGAACCTAGTTGGTGTTGGCTTTCTTCAGGACCTCGACGTCACCACTATGTTCCCCGGACACGAGCGGTACGTGGTATGCACCGAGACCGCCACTCGTGCTACTCTGACCACGTTCCCCCGGGACCCTGTGTCCGGCCTGTTTACGCTTGAGACTGCATCCCCCCTGGTGAGGGCGTCCCCTCAGGTAGCCGCGGCTTGCTCGTGTCGGTCGCTCACTCATCCGTCGTTGCTGTGGCATCACCGACTAGGTCACCCTGCATTCCCACGTCTGCGTCACATCTCCCAGCATGGTCTTGTCCTAGGTCTCCCTACGTCGCTCCCTTCCCTCCCTCCCTCGCCTGCGCCGCCGTGCACGCCCTGCATTAAGGGCCGGCTGCGCCGTACACCTCACTCCTCCTAGCTTCGCCCTGCCACCGCGCCACTCCAGACCCTGCACCTGGACGTCTGGGGTCCAGCCCCTGTCCCTGGGCCACGTCAAGAACGCTACTTCCTGGTGCTCGTCGACGACTACACGCGCTATACCACGGTGTTTTCTCTGGAGAAGAAGGCCGACGTGCCTGACGTTCTTATCCCGGCCAAGGTCGTAGCTGCGCGAGTCCGCCGAGGTCTCCCCGAGCTGTGTCTCCACTCCGACCATGACGGCGAGTTTGCCTCCGCTCGGCTTGGCCGTTTCTGTCGTGCGGAGGGCATCACCCTGTCGTACAGCTTGCTGGACTCCCCACAGCAGAATGGGGTCGCTGTGCGACGCATCGGTTTGGTCATGGAGGTGGCTCCTACTTCCATGATCCATGCCGGTGCACCCCATTTTCTGTGGTCGTTCGCCGTTCGCTACGCCGCTTACCAGCTTAACCTGTGGCCCCTCTCCCAGCGACCGCATGTTTTCCTGACCCTCCTCTGGACTAGGTCTCCTGGTGACGCGTCTGCGTTCCTCGTTTGGAGATGCCTCACTCACGTTCGTGCCTCTGGCACAGACAAGCTCACTGCCCGCATTGTCCCCTGTGTCTTCCTTGGCTACCCCCTTGACTCGTCTGACTGGCACTTCTACCACCCGCCGTCTCACCGCTTCCTTCACTCGCGTAATGTCAATTTTTACAATCATGTCTCCTTCTACCGTCGCTTTCCCCACCGAGGTCTCCCGGTTTCCCCACCCCTGTTTCAGGTCCCCACACCCACGGTAGCCCCTGCTCCCCTCCCTCCCCGTCCTGCTTCGTCTAGTGTGTGTCATGTCACTCCCCTCCCGTCCCTTGTCCCGGTCGAGGAGTTGGCTGACTCTGGTGGCCCCGCGGTGAATTTCTCGCCGCCTGCCTCTCCCCCGGTGTCCCATCCTCTGTCTTCGCAGTCACCGCCGTAGCCGTCGTCGCAGCCGCAGCAGCAGCAGTCGCCGCCGTCGCAATAGCAGCAGCTGTTCGTGGACTCTGGGGGTGCTTGCATTGAGAAGGGTGCTAGTCCTGGGGTTCCTATCCTGGCTTGTCCCGGCGAGCTCAAGGGTGGCACCGGTGCTGGAGAGGGTTCGCGCTAGGGGTAATTGCTCTGGGGGTGTTGGAGTGGAGTGTTCCGGAGGTAGCCGTGGTGCAGCTGGCGGTTCAGGTTTCAGCGTCGAGCAGCAGCAGCAACAGTCGCCGCCGGTGTTCACCCTTCGCCTTCTCGGCCTTCTCTCCCCTGATCGCTCGCCTGTGCCTCCCCCACCGCCTCCTCTCATTCCTATCCATAGTCCTGTGTTTCCTCTGTCAGACTCGTCCCCGACCCGTTTCCCGCCACGTTTCCCCTCTATGTCTCCTCCTGTGTCTCCTGACCCGACACCTCCGTCTCACGTCTGGACTCGCCGTCCCTCTCGTACTCATCTTGTCTCTCGTGTTCCGCGTTCTCACCCTACGTTGCTTCTTTCCCATGCGTCTCGTCCTCCCCTCCTCCTTTCTCCTCCTCCGTTGTCGCTCTCTGTCGCGCCTCCCCCTCTGTCCGACTACCTTCGTGCTACGCGTCCTCTTGTTCCTAGGGGTCCTTGCCTTCCTCGTTACCGACCCGTCCATTCCTGTCTCGAGTCTTGACGCTCTTGTCGCCGCTGTCGCTGACTTCGACTCTACCTACCGCCTTAACTACGCCACAGCTCTGGTTTCTGGTCCTACCTGCCCTCCGTCCATCAGAGGTGCCCCTGCCCTTGGCTGTGACGTCGTAGAGGACAGGCAGTACGAGCTTGCTTTCCTGTCCGAGGCTGCTCCCCATCGCTGTACCATGCTGCAAGTCCTTGAGGGTGACCCTGACGCCTTTGACATCCCGACCCCTCGCAGTTACGCTGAGGCGACCTCGAGACCCTGGGCCTCTTCGTGGATAGCTGCCATGGAGCAGGAGATGGCATCTTGGAGATCCACCGGCACCTACGTCGACGCAGTTCCCCCACCTGGGGTGAACGTAGTCGATGGCCGGTGGATCTTCAAGGAGAAGCGCCCTCCTGGAGAGCCGCCTGTGTTCAAGGCGCGCTACGTGGCTAGAGGCTTCAGTCAACGAGGGTGTTGAATTTTTTCAGACCTTTGCCCCGACCTCGAAGATGACTACTCTTCGGGCGCTGCTACACGTAGCAACACAGCGTGACTACGAGCTCCACTCCTTCGACTTCTTCACAACGTTTCTCCAGGGCAGTCTACATGAGCAGGTCTACCTGCACCGACCGCAAGGCTTCACCGGTACCTTCCCTCCTAGAACCCAGTGGATCCTCTTGCACCCAGTCTACGGCCTGCGACAAGCGCCCTCTGAGTGGCACGACACTCTGCGTGCTACACTAGCTGACCTGCAATTCTTTCCGCCCTCTGCAGACCCCTCGCTCTTCATTCGTGTTGGCCAGACTCCGTTCTATATCCTTGTCTACGTAGACGACCTGGTCTTTGCTACTGCAAACAAAGACGCACTGGCTTCCGTAAAGGCCGAGCTGCTGAAGAGACATACCTGCACTGACCTAGGAGAGCTGCGCCGCTACCTTGGCCTACAGATCTCCAGGGACAGAGCGGCGCTCACCATCACTCTCACACAGTCACACTTGGTGCGCCAGATCTCCTCCGCACAGCCCACACCTCTGCCGGTAGACCACAGGCTCTCAGCTCCAGTTCCTGAGGAGTCAGTAGAGCCCAGTGGTCCTTACGCAGAGCTGGTGGGTTGCCTCATGTAGTTGATGACTTGCACTCGTCTAGATCTCCCATAACCTCTCAGCATTCTGGCTTGCTTTGTGGCCACAGGCAGACACCGACCACAACACTGGTCGGAAACTAAGAGGGTTTTGCGTTATCAAGCAAGTACATCGGGCATGGGGCTAGTACTGGGAGGACGCAGGCCAGTGGTCCTTACCGAGGCACACAGACGCTTCTTGGGCAGAGGACGCTGAAACCCTTAAGTCCTCCGAGGGCTAATGCCTTAGCCTTGGTTCAGGTGCCATCTCGTGAAGGTCCACCCGCTCGTCGTCTGTTGCCTAGTCTAGCTGTGAGGCTAAGATCTATGCCGGTGCCATGGCGGCACAGGAGCTCCGCTGGCTGACCTTCTTGCTCACCGACTTAGGTGAGCGGCCTAGCTCTGCCCCAGTCCTGTACGCTGACAACAAGGTCATGATCCTCCTGTGTCAGGAGCCTCGACTTGAGGGCAGAGCAAAGCACATCAAACTGCGGTACTTCCTCCTGCGCGAGCTGCAGCAGCGTTGCCAGGCCCGCGTTGTACACTTGGCCTGCGGTGCCAATACAGCTGATATCTTTACGAAGGCGCTTGCACCAAAAGATCATCAGCGGCACTGTGCACAGCTTGGTCTAGTTCCTGTAGCTTCTCACTTGCTAGGACCCTGATTGTGTACTCCTGTTATATTCTCTTGACTGGCCTTGTGGCTTCTGTCCCTGTGGCTGGACTAGTAGTACCGCCCCGGGTTGCTCTTGTTTAGCTTGTACTCTTGCTGACTGGTCTTTGGACTCTTGCCTCATAGGCTGGACTAGAAGTGCCACCCTGAGCTGTGTGTCGATTTCTAGGCACTGCCCCTCATCTGGCCTAGGGGGTGTGTCAAATATATTTGTCTTTATTATAATTGGCTAGATAGGTGCATGCTCTTAGAGGGTATTGCTCTTGAACAAAATCAATATGTATGCCTCATTCTAGTTACCTTTTCTACTCTGAGACCTTGTCCCCTGATGTAAACAGTTGGACACCCAAGATGTGGGATTTGTGTACTACAAATTCGGACACCCGGTTTTGTCCCCCCCCCACGTCACACGTTCCCTACGCCCCGCAATTTCGTTTTCCCCTGCCCTGCAAATTCATTCCCCCCCCCCTCCCCCCCCCGCCATTTCGAATGTTTACAACCTCGCCCCACAAATTTTGTTTGCGCCTGCGTCAGAATCATATCCCCCTATTAGAAGACTAACTTAGCTAGGAAGCAAGGGCGGCCATGAAATGGCGTGAGGGTTTAGGAGCTAGGAGCTAGGAGAGTGAAGTTTTGAGAGGACATTGACAAGAGAAAAGAGAGTTGGAATAGAAGAGTGAGAGGCATACAAGGAGGGAGTTGTACCCTCTACAGTAGAGTTCAGTAACACCTACCAAGCCTACAATGATATAACAAATATAATTTAACACACCCCCTATGCTTGGTAGTGGCAAGCCCATACACACCCACACCCCCTAACCTAGCACCCCCACACTCAGTAGCAGCGACTGCTACTTCAGCACGGTCAACTCCACGGTGCATGAGGCGGGGCGATGTCGACAACGAGGACAGCGGCTGCAACGGTGGCGACGGCGGCAGCGTCGACAGTGGCGGCGTGGCCAGCGGCACCAGCTGCGGCGGCGTCGGCTTTGACGACAGCTGCCGGCAGTGGCGGAGCTCGCAACACTTGGCGGCATAGCCGGGCTCCGCGACGGTGGGACGGCCGGCGCGAAGTAGCTGTCGGCTGTGGCAAGAAAGAGGGGACGTAGAGGAAGAGGGGGGGGGCTTCAGCTGCGGAGCCCGGGAGCGTGCCGCCCCGTGTGGCACGCTGGCTGCATGCGGGCATGTTGGCCAGCACTAAGAAGAGGCGCTGGCCGCTGCCGTCCATGCCGTCCGCACGCTGTCGCGTAGATGCCGTGGCAGCACGACGGCGCCGTCACGCCACCACAGTTTGACGTCGACGCCGGCGCCGCCACGGCTTGACGTTGACGCCACGACAGCGCGACGCCACGGCAGCGCGTCGCGACGGCCACGGCAGCACGACGCAGCCATTGGCACAACGACGCGGCCATGGCAGCACGACGCGGCCGCCATGGCAGCGCGAAAGAGAGAGTAGAAGAGCGCGGCGGAAGCGTGAGGAGCAGGCCCACAAGGAACGAACAGCTCTGATACCATGTTGAACAAGCTAGGTTAGGTAGCTAGGGAGAAGGAAGCCATGAGAATGGTGGATTGGTTTAAGCTAGGTAGGAAAAGTATCTAGAGATAAAGGGTAATTGACTTGGCAAGAGAGAGAGGTACAAGAAGGGTGTTGTACCCTCTACAGTAAGATCCAGTCAGAGTAAGGCACCTGCCTAGTAGTAGTAGTAGTAGTAGTAGTAGTAGTAATAGTAGTAGTAGTAGTAGTAGTAGTAGTAGTAGTAGTAGTAGTAGTAGTAGTAGTAGTAGTAGTAGTAGTAGTAGTAGTAGTAGTAGTAGTAGTAGTAGTAGTAGTAGTAGTAGTAGTAGTAGTAGTAATAGTAGTAGTAGTATAGTAGTAGTAGTAGTAGTAGTAGTAGTAGTAGTAGTAGTAGTAGTAGTAGTAGTAGTAGTAGTAGTAGTAGTAGTAGTAGTAGTAGTAGTAGTAGTAGTAGTAGTAGTAGTAGTAGTAGTAGTAGTAGTAGTAGTAGTAGTAGTAGTAGTAGTAGTAGTAGTGCTATAAATCTTTGTTGTGTCCTTTTTATTATTAACCTTGAGATTTCAACTTTGAGAACTTTGAGACCTCACTTCTGCAGAAACATATACTCAGGTTCATTCTTACAAGACTTCCGCTATCTTATTAGTCTACCATTCGAGTAAAGATCCTAGGCTAACGCTTGAGGTTTTCCAAGTGTTCGTGTTTTCTGATTTTATACTTACTCTTCTGCAACACCCTTCAAATTATTACATGGTCTCAGAGCTATCTGGAAACAAGACTACTATCAACAATGACTGGTTCATTACCAGCACCGTCTGCCGGATCAACTTCCGGAACTTCTGGAGTACATGTCTCCACGACCGCCACTGGTCTCTCAGCCTCTGGACCGTTTCCACCGGCTTATGCGCATATCGGTATGCAGCAGCAGCAGCATCAGAATCCGTCTTCTGTCAGTACTCCAGGGATGTCATCAACTGCCCCTGCAGCACAACAACAAGCATCAGTATAGCAACAGGCATCAGCACAACCACTGTTTTCAACTCAGTCTATATCTTCTGCGTTCCGCGACGGCGAACCATGCAACGAAGACGGAATTGATTGCTCTCTCCTCTGCTGAAGCTGAGTTCATCGCTGTCTGCACAGCAACACGCGAAGGACTTTACCTGCAGGAACTATTGGAAGAAGCGAAGTTGACGACGACTACACAGTTTCCTCTACAGTGCGACAACCAAAGTGCAATTCGCATCGCGCACCAGCCTGGTTTCGTCAACAGGACGAAACATATTTCTCTGCGTTACTTTTTCGTCAAGGATAAAGTCGAGAAGGGGAGGATGCGATTGGTCTATTGTTCGACCAACGAAATGGCTGCCGATTTCCTCACGAAGAAGCTGACACGACAGAAGTTTCAATACTGTAACAAGCTTTGCGGGATCTTCAAGACGTGACTCTATCGGACTTCCAGAAATGAAGGGGAGTGTTGTCGTATATTTCATACTTAGCATTTCTGTAAGTCGTTTATCGATAGATAGTATCGAATCCTACTGTAGAAGATAAGTCCATAGGATGACGTCCATAGGATAGTCCAGGGCCTCAGATAGGATTTTGGGCATCCTGACCAATCAGGGCTGGCCTCCAAAAAACCGTGTAGCACTCAGGGTTGGTTGGCTATATTCATACTGAATCCTCAGGGTGGTTCCCCAGTTTATACTATGCCCTCAGGGTAAATTCAAAAACGTTGGAAACGTTGTACTAAGTTACATTACACAGCAGTAGGAAACTAACAGGATGTCGGCACTTCATGTTTTGCGCTAGCTTTGCCACTATTGGTCAAAATTTGGCGAAAATCTTCGCACGCAGCAAATCAGGCCGGGAATTTTTCTGGCAGTCTGATTGTTCAGGGCCTACTGCTTTGTGAACCGATGTCAGGCCCTTTTTGTGTCATTAGGGATTTCGCTTGTCAAATTTGCCCGTCAACGCAGTCTTGACATGAATTAGCGTGACTTGTGTCGGCGTTGAGACACGCCCTCAGTTGAAAAATGCCACGTCTGAATTTTTAGAGGAAAGTCGAAGGATGTGGGCGAACGTGAAACATTTGCCATTGAGCTGTTCTAACGGCCCGTTTGAGTTTGGATGTTTGGGAGCTCCAGGGAATTTCGGGCATTGCGAATTTGATGGCCAAGATCTGTTCAAGTGAAGTAACAGAAATTTGGGTCGTTCGATCGTCGACGAGAGTGAATCGTATGTTGAGACGTTGGGGGGTTTGAATATAGTGCGTGCGGAAGACTACGCTAAAACGGGTAGGAATGTCTAGCTCGCCGATATTTTCGGGTTGAGGGGGGTTCGTGGAGGATTGTCACTAGGATTGATGACTTCACCGAAAATTTAGAGTAACGGGGGGGGGGGGGGGGGCGGGGGGGTTGGGTTTCGTTCGAGGATTGTCTCTAGCATTAAGGACTTAGCCAAAACAGAGTAGCGTGGGGCTGCTTGGAGGATAGACGCTAGCATCGAGGACTTCGACGAAATTTGTTTTGGCGGAAAAAAACAAGCATGCGCCCGTAGGGCACGTGCATTCGCAAGATTCGATGAATCAGGGTTATCCCCAAAAGCATACTGACACCTCAGGGCTAGTACACGAACACTATACTGAAACTTCAGGGTTGCACTATGATTCAAAACTGAATTCAGAGGGTGGAAAATGACCTTAAACGGATTTTTCAGGATTGGCACCTAACAGGCATCCTGAAAATCAGGAATTCGGGATAAAACATCATGAAATCTGAGGCCCTGGGACAGTCGTTTCAGTCACGCGAATAGTCGCACCTCTTCATTATCATCTAGGGCGCATAGCGCGATAGTGACGAACAGGTACATTAGGGAACAGGTATTTTCCTACAGCTATAAATCTTTGTTGTGTCCTTTCTATTATTAACCTTGAGATTTCAACTTTGAGAACTTTGAGACTTAACTTCTGCAGAAACATATACTCAGGTTCATTCTTACAAGACTTCCGCTGTCTTACTAGTCTACCATTCCAGTAAAGATCCTAGGCTAACACTTGAGGTTTTCCAAGTGTTGGTGTTTTCATATTTTATACTTAGTCTTCTGAACACCCTTCAAATTATTACAGGTTCAACTTGCGGGCAGTGGGGACTGTGCGACCGGTCGCGTGCTATTTGCGATTTGAGTTTGTTCGCGCAAAGTGTTGCTCATGCCACGTTTCCCACCAAACGAAATGGGGTTTCCCGCCAACCAATCAAGTAAATGCTCATGCTCGCGCAATTTCCACTGCTCGCATGTCTCGACAGTGAACCCCTCTGCCCCAACCAGTTTGTTCCTTAGTCGCTACGACGAACTTCAGGGCCCTTTCAAGTTGGACCCACCTTCCTTATTTTGACCATTCGCTTTAAGGATAAATTGCATATAGAGTATTACAAGGCGTAAAAGGGGATCGTCACGAAGGCATATGACATGTGCTGTAATGACAAGCAGCTTCAGATATTGTTATGGGTGGAAACCCAGAATAGCGCGGAAGTGAATAACGGAGTTCAGAATTACAGAATGATCAGAGTCACAGATTCATAGATTCACAGATTAGTCGGTACAATGAAAGACGAGGCTATATATAGGAACACAAGAGCGAATCTTAACCGTGCGATGCACACGTTTGGAGAAGGCATCCGAGGACGCGCAGCGCTTCGGAATGACGCGGAAAAGGTTTGGTTTAGCCTGTACGGTGATGGAACTAGGGCCTAGCCCGTTGCCATGTACGTTCGGTGTACCCGCTAGCACTGCGCCTCAGTAAGGAATTACTAATTCCTTTCAGAAATTCTAAAATAACTCCCCCCTTCCCCCCACCTACCTCAAAAATGCCATACCTTCTCTCAATCCGTTCCACACAAACCTCGGTGTTGCTCGTCGCGAACCTGATTCTGCGCTGCCATTGGGGTTTGTCAATGTCATGTCAGATGTCACCGCCAAGTCACCCCGTTCCCACCACACAAGCGTCTCCCTCCCTACAGTATCTTCCCAAATCTCCGCAACGTTGCTGCGCGCCTATTCCCTGAGGCTCATTTCAGCCACAGAAGGTTCGGGAAACCGGGATCCCTCCTTCCGCCTGGGTTGATCTTTTTGTTTTCCCAAACCCCCCTCGCCCCCACGAACCCCGGTTCCCCCCAACTTTTTCCCTTCCGCCGATCTTTCCCTTCCCCTTGCAGCACCCAAACCGAACCAATCTCCCGCCATGATCCATCCCTCCCCCCCCGCTCAACCCGAAAGGAAGATTTCCTCCTGTCTCTCTCGGTCTCCTCTCTTCCCTTTCTCTCCCTTAGTCTACTCCCCTCCCCCCACCATCTTCCTCCCTTCCAAACTATCTCCCATTTCCCCTCTTCGTGTTAGGCCTAGTGGTGTGTGTGTGGTTCCCCTGGTTCTCTTGCCTAAACCTCTGGATGATCTTTTCCTCAGTGGACGACTCTTCTGACCAGCACTTCAGCACCAGCTTCGACCATCTCTTCGACCATCACTTTCAGCACCAGCTTTGCCACCAGCTTTGTCTCAGCCGAGGTAGAAATTGCCGTCAGCCAAGTCTATTTAGTAGGTTGCCGTTCTGTGCCGAGCTGGTGTGCATCGTTGACAGCATGAGGGACTTGTGAAAAGCCTTTGGTCCGTCGGTGGAAAAAACGTCGCACGGTCGGCCGTCAATTCTTGCACCCCCACCTCCATTCCAAAGCTACAGCTAAGTGTTCGGCCTGCGGAGCTAAGGGTACTTGTCCAATCTTACTGTCCCGTGAATCCTGTCACTCTGTCCCGCGAAACCCAATCGGTTCCCCAACCGTCCACATGTCTCGCTCATTCTCGTCTATCCGCATTCACCTTGACATCGCTCCACGAGAAGTCCACTCCAAGCTCAACACTGGGTCCCGCTCCCGGTCCCGGTCCCGATTACGCCGGGTCGCCTCGGAACCAGACCTGTCCTGCTCGGTGACGGTATCTTTCGCTACTGTCACGTCCGTGTCTCCTCTCGGCCCCGTGCGTCAGCCCGTCTGCTCATCCCCGACGCTCCTGCGGCCAGCTGTATCCAGCAACGGCGGTAGCGGCACCGCGTCGAGAGCGGACATCACCGCACGAGCAAAGCCGGCTCGAGGGGGTGGTAGAAGGCAGCGAGGGGGACCAGACCGCGTGCGCCAGCAGCCATGGTGGTGGGCACAGAGGGGGGGTCAGGTTCTGGTTCAAGCCGCTCGTGCCAGCCGTGGCTCCTCCGGAACAGATGGTCCCAGCTCTAAGACAGGAGCTCGTCACGGCGTGCCGGCGGCAGCGGTGCTGCAAGCGCAACCAGACGTCTCCGTGTTTGCCGCAGCCGCTGGGGGGAATGCTTCGGCCACTGCCACTGCCGGCGCTGCAATCGCAACTGCGGCAGCTTCGGTTGAGTTTCCAGCGTCTGCAGCTGCAGCTGTGTCGACTCGTGCTAAGTCTACCGTCACCTCCTTCTCCTCCTCCTCTTCCCCTTTCAAGGCGTGTTCCGTATCGTCTTCCGTAGGCGTTGCCTCCCGGGTCTCGTCTCTCCCAGTGGCTGCGTCGGACGACTGCTATCTGGACGTTCTGCACGACCCGTGGAAAGTCAACGGTATCGATCTGCTCGGCCCCAGTTACGCCATCAGCCAGCACGCGAGAGTGTGTCCGGATTTCCGCGGCTCGGCAGCTGTCTGGCAGTGTGGCTTGTGTGAGCGGGACGGCATAGCCGCGACGGCGCCTTCGCAAACGTGGAGTAGAGGAGGCGATGTGGGGTTGGGAGGGGAGGGAGCGAGACGAGTGGAAGGTGACACTGAAAATCTAGGTTCGGACCACACTCAACACTCGCGTCCACGCTTCCGCACGACCGTCGATGAGAAGGAAGGAGCGATCGTGGCCGCCGCCGATTCGCGAGAGGACGAAGCAGAGTGGCCGAACAGCAGCTGTAACAGCAGCAGCAGCAGTAACAGCAGCGGCAGCAGCAGCAACGGGCACGGGCACGGGCACGGGCACGGGCACTGGCACGAACACGGGCACGAACACGGGCACGGGCAGGGGCAGGTATGCGCGGGGAGGGTGGTGAAGGGGAAGGGGCCGGGGCAGTACCTGTTCATGTCTGACAGCGGCGAGGGCTTCACGAGCGTGGACGTGGGGTGCAACGGCATGCCCGTCGTCTGCAACTCGCGTGGCTGCCGCCCCGTGCTGCTCAACGACCGCTTCCGCGACTGGAACGGCCGCCTCAAGTCCCTGCCGTGCTGGCCGCTCGACGGCGCCAGGCGCGGGGGGGCTGGCGGAGATGGAGCGCCGGGAGGGGGCGGGGAGGGGGCGCGCGGGGCGGAGGCGGAGGCGGAGGCGTCGTCAGGGGATGTCGGAAGGCCGTCGCCGTCGGTGGAAGGATCGAGTGTTGTGGTGGGAGGAGGGGGGGCGGAATCGGCGTCAATAGGCAAGGCGAGGGCGGGTGATGTTAGAGCGAACGGGTTCGAGCCCCACAGCAGCGATTACTGGTGGGAGAGCGTGGGGGCCGACGGGGGGCTCGCCGGGGATTCTTCGCGCGGACTGGGGCAAACCGCCGCGGGCGACGACGATGACCACCTGCGCGGTTCCCCCTCCCCCACGTTCCTTGGCGCAAGTTCGCCCTGGTTTCCGCCTGCCTTTCCGGGCTCGCCTGATGTTGCCGCGCCCCATCTCAGCGCGCGCAGCGCCGGTGTTGCTGCGCCGCAGCCGCATCTCCGCGTGCCCGTGGTGGTGCCGCCGCTGGTGTCAGTCGGTCGGCAACATCCGGAAGGACTCATGGCGGAGGAGCCGGCGGAGCAGAGCAGCCTCCCCGCTTTCGACGGTGGCGGCGGTGGCGGCGGCAGTGGAGATGGGTCCAGCATGGGGGTTGGCAGCGGCGGTAATTACGCCGGTGACAGCATGGGTGGTGGCAGCACGGCGAGAGATATCTTGATGGACGACCGTCCGATCTGGGCGCCATCGTTGAAAGGCGATCTTAATGGTGACGCTGCTGTGGTTGGTGGTGGTGGTGATGGTGGTGGGGGTAGTGGTGCGGCACCAGGAGGGCGAAAAGCTAACGGGCCGGCGATTCCGTCGCACGGGTCTCCGTTTCCGTCTTATCGCCCGGGTTCCGCTGCACCCGAGCAGCAGCAGCAGCAGCGGCAGGTGTTCGGGCTTGGGCGGCCGACCTCACCGGAAGAAGCGGGGGCGTGGGGAGTCCGCCTGGGAGAACGCGGGGAGCGCGGGGAGGCTCCTGTGAACAGCGCGGGAGAGAGAGGATTATTCCCGTGGAGAAAGCGAAGGGGCGGCGACGATGAGACGAGCGAGGTCAACGGACGACACGGCAAGAGTCTGGAAAGCGACGGGGGGAGTGCGCGGATTGTGGCGGATGGGCGCGGGTATGGGGAGGGGCGGAGGAGGGAAGGGGGCGTGGGCGTGCGGGAGCAGGTGCAGGGGGATGCGAGGGAGAAGGAGAGGGAGAGGGAGAGGGAAAGAGAAAGGGAGCAGATGGAGCGGTTTTACCGTGCGGCGCTGATGGAACATCCACAGCAGTCGCTTTTCCTCGGCAACTATGCCCAGTTCCTCGCTGAAGTACGCCCAACGCCTGTTTCTTTTTTGTTTTTGTTTGTTTGGTTTTTTTTTCCCCTCCCTTTTTAAATGTTTCTGAGCGCTTGCGTGTTTCCAATCTCATGCCTCCTGGTATTGATCCGTTCAACGCATTCCCCGTGCGTGGTCTTGTATGCATGCTCATCCCATTCCTCCGCCAGTCCCACCGTTCCCACACCACCTTCCCAACTTCCCCCCACCTCTCCCCCCCAGCTCCATGCTCTCTTCGCCCTTAAACCTGTCGCCCCCCTTCTGCCCCCCTCCCAACTCCCCCCTTCCCCCAGGGCAAGGACTATGAGCGCGCGGAGGAGGCGTTCAGGCGCGCGGCCGTGGCGAGCCGGGCGGAGGGGGGCGCGGGGGAGGCGGAGGTGCTGGTGGCGTGGGCCAAGGTGGTGTGGGAGGCGGGGAGGGACGCGGAGCGGGCGATGGCGCTCTTTGAACGCGCCGTTGAGCTGTCGCCTGATGACTGGTGCGGTGACGCAGGGGGGAGATGGGGAAATGGGGGGGTACAGGGCGTGGGGAGGATGGCGGGTTGGGGGAATGGGGCGTGGACGTGGGAGGATGGGTGGGTGGGTGGGGGCGAACGCCGATAGCCGATGGAACGATCATGGCGTTGATTGAATGTAGAGAGCACTCATGGAATGCCATGGCCTCATGGCTGCTGATGTGTGTAGGCTACACGTTCTGCCATTCGTTTTGTACATCCACTATGACTGCTTATGACTGATTATGTGTGCATTAAAGAAACCTCGCCCCATCCTCGTCCCATCCGCGCCCCATCCTCGCCCCATCCTCCTCCCACCCGTACCCCATCCTCACCACCCATTTCCCATCAACCGTCCCCTCCCACCGCACCCCCCCCTCCCCCCGAGCAGTTTTGTGCTGGCAGCCTATGCTAGCTTCCTGTGGTCTGCGGAGAGCGGGCAGGAGCCAGCAGCGACACAGGTGGTGGTTGGCGGAGGGGTGTGCTTGGCGGACTGGGAGGATGTAGAGGGGCAGCACGGGCAGCAGCAGCAGAGAGGCTATGAGCATTTGGCACCAGCTCAGTGTGTTGCTCAGCGCGACGCATGCCTCGATGCCCGGCTGTGCTCCTGTCATGCCACATCGAGTGTGCCCGACCGCGGCTATGGTAATGCAGCAGCGGACAACAAGCCTCCAGCAGACGGGCCCCCGCCCGCTCCAGCGCCAGCCAGCAGGGCCAGCCAAGTGCAGCGAGACAACAAGAGCAGACAAGTGCACGGAGCACAGGGAGTGCACACACAGACAGGGCTGGAAGCAGCACGACCCACACAGCCTCATGCACCTGTCCATCATCATAACGCCTACAATGAGGCGGCTATTGAGTCAACTCAGAAGCCTCATGGGTCTGCCCATCATCGCAATGCCTGCAACGGCTCTGCTGCCGCATCGTCCCCAAAGGAGGCTGTGGCTGCTCGATCCGTGCTTGGAAATGGCATATGCAGTGGTGCTGGTGCTAGTTGTGGTGCTGCTGGTGGTGGTAGTCTCACCAACATGAGCCATCATTCTGCATGGATGGACGTAGTGTAAATGTGATGCACCGGTATGGGCCGAAGAAGCATGCAGCATTTAGGTCTGTCTAGTTAGGAAGGGGGAAGTTGATTACCTATGCCAGTAAGGGAGATGTTAATGGTGTATAAAGCGGATGAGTCGGAATAATATCAGGTTTGTTTTTTTGTCATCAAACCCTCGAGCATTTCAATGTGGTGAGAAACTACTGATGATGAACTGACGAAACTATCCACTAAGCTACTTTCGGCAGGCGGTTCAGGTCTTGCAACCATTTCGCTGCAGCTGTGCCATGCTAGAGTTTGAAGAAGACGGAGACGCGGTCTAGGTAGAGGCGCTTCACTTCAGCCAGCAGCGAGAAGAGCCGCGCGTCCGCCACCCGCTCCTCCGCCACAAGTGCTGCCTTGAGCTGGGCAGCGCGCTCGTACTGTGGAGGGAGTGAGGGAGGGAGGGAGGGGGGAAGAAAGGGTGGGCCAAACAGGTAATGAGCAGAGGAGAGGAGAAGAGCCGCGCATCCGCCACCCACTCCTCTGCCATGAGTGCCACCTTGAGCTGGGCAGCGCGCTCGTACTGTAAGGAAGATAGGGAAGGGGGACGGCAAGGGCGGGGCATTGGTTGAGTGGCAAGAGGGTGAAGAGTAGGAGAGAGAGGAATGAGCCATGCGTCAGCAACTCTGGCCTCTCCTCTGCGAGGCCCTGAGCCGTGCTGTGGCTCGTAGTGTGGAGACAGTGCGGGAGAGGGAAGGGCGGAGGGAGGGACGGGTGGAGGGGCGGGTGGAGGGACGGGTGGAGGGAGGGACGGGTGGAAAACATGAGTGAAGATCGGGGAGGAGCGGTGCAGGAACATGAGAGAGGATGGAGGGGGAAGGGGGGGGAAATAGAGAGTGAGGTTCTGCTGAATTGTATCTTCTCAGTGCCCTTGCCCACGTCTAGTTGTGTCTCAAGCGTTGATACATCTCAAATCAAGAGAGGATGTGCGGAAGGGGCGAGTGTGAGGCTCTACTGTGTCGCACCTCTTCCGCGCTGATAGCAGCGTCTAGCCAAACCTTGAGCTCAGGCGGTCTCATCTCCAGCTCCCCTTTTGAGGCGCCTCAACAGAAAGAGGAGAGGGGGGAGAAGGGGGAAGGGTTTCTACTAAGATGTACCTCTTCTGCGCTGATAGCAGCGTCTAATTGGGCCTTGAGCTCAAGCGGTCTCATCTCCAGCTCTCGCATGCGCTGCGCCAAATCCGCCAGCAACGATGCATCATTGTCCGCCTCTCGTGCTGGGGGGAAGAGTAAGGGGAGGAGGAGAAGGCAATGCGGGAATGAAAGACAGAGAGCTTGATGGGAAGGCGTGCACTAAAGCATTCATAATGCTTGGAACATCTTCACGTCAAAGCTGCTGCTCTCTCAGAATTATGTATGCTTCCACAAATGCCAGGATAGACAGCAATGATGGCATGTCAGAGCAAGGCAACAACAGAGAGCAGGCGGATGGTGAGGTTCAAGCAGAGGGGAGAGTGGAAGAGGCGAGAGTGGAAGAGGGGAGAGTGGAAGAAGTGATTCCGAGGATGAAAAGGGGAGTGGTTCTACATGAAGAGTTAACCACAACCGCTTTTTCAGCCTCCTCTTCATCCTCAGGGTCTAAGAGGGCCTTTTTCACACCTTCCACTCCTCCCTTCTCTTCAATTCCACCACCCATCTTCTCACTGTTGCTAACCTGCTCTGACGTGTCGCTACTGTATATCCTGGCATTTGCCCGTGTTGATGCGACAAGACAGTCCTTCCCGATTACTGCGGCGTCATGTGGAGTGCACATGCATGTGCACCGATGCATGTGTCCCATCCATCCTTGCACTCAAAATGCACCGATGCATGTGTCCCATGCATCCTTGCTTGCACTCCTTAGAGCGCGCACCCACCGATGGGGTTGAGCAGCATGCGCTCGATGAAGTCTCGATTCGACGCCAGAATGCACCGCCGCTCCACCCGCAACGGCTGCCGGTACCGCAGTGCAAGCGCCATGGCCTTGACGGCAACAGTGGGGGGAGAGGAGGAGCAGAGCATAAGGGGAGAACGGTTGGGGAAGGGGGGGGGGCACATTTGGTGGTATCGCAGTCGCAGTACAAGCCATTCCCGAGAACTTGATAATATGCCGTGGTTCTTTGCAGGAGTGAAGGGGAGGTCAGGAGGCAAAGACAATTTTTGAGTTTGCTTCGTGAGTTTGTCCAATCAAATCAGGAACGGTATGGTATGGTATGGTATGGCATGGCATGGTACGGTATGGTATGGTATGGTATGGCATGGCATGGCATGGCATGGTATAGTATGGTATGGTATGGTATGGAGAAGCTGTCAGTGTCAGCAGGGTGACAGTGTCTCAGCAGGCAGGCTCACCTGTGGGAATGAGGAGTCCACGCGTCTAATCTCCCCTGTCTTCTCATCCAGCAGCACAAACGAGACCGCCCCCACATCCTCGTTAAAAGCATGCACCAGTGTCCGCTGCAAGTCGAGGTCGTTCAACCTCTCAAGCCCCTCCAGCGCTGGTGGAATGTGGGGCCACGCCACGCAAGAGGGAGAGCGGGTGGGTTTCGTGGGCTTGTATCAGAGTGTTTTTGAGAATGACTTTTGAGTCGAGAGTTCTATTGGTTTTGTGGGCTTGTATCACTCTGCATGTTTTCGAGAATCCTCAAAAACACTCTGCAATTGCCCCGCAAGTCTATTTTTGAGGCGCCTCAAAAATACCATAGGGTTCCTCCTCACGCATGGTGGTTCCGAGGACTTGTAGTACGGCACTGCAAGTCAAGGTCGATCAAGCGGCTCAAGCCCCTCCAGTGCTGGTCAAAAGCTGGGCGATGTGAGAGAGAGCGCGTGGGGGAGGACGGGGGTTAGGTGGCTTGGGGGATTTGGGGACAGAAGTATATTTTACCCATGGAGCTGATGGCAAGTATTACTGTTGGGCAGGCCTAGCAAGCATTACCGTTGGGCAGGCCTAGCAAGCATTACCGTTGGGCAGGCCTAGCAAGCATTACCGTTGGGCAGGCCTAGCAAGCATTACCGTTGGGCAGGCCTAGCAAGCATTACCGTTGGGCAGGCCTAGCAAGCATTACCGTTGGGCAGGCCTAGCAAGCATTACCGTTGGGCAGGCCTAGCAAGCATTACCGTTGGGCAGGCCTAGCAAGCATTACCGTTGGGCAGGCCTAGTAAGCATTACCGTTGGGCAGGCCTAGTAAGCATTACCATTGGGCAGGCCGCCGCGCTGCATGGCGTCGTGGCAGGGCGCTGCAATGAGGGCGTTGAGGAAGAGCGGGAACTCGCGACACGCGTCCACTGGCGGACCCCTGTTGGCCGGCGAACACAGCACGCCCACCACCATGCCTGCTCGCAGAAATTAGGCGGTAGGCATGAGGAGATGGGAGGGGAGGCACGAGGAGATGGGAGGCACGAGGAGATAGATGGGAGGCACGAGGAGATAGATGGGAGGCACGAGGAGAAGGGTTGAAGGCAGTCAGGGAAACGTGGGGTGGGGAGTCCAGTGGTGACTCTAGAGCCCTCCACTGACGCTAGAGGGAATGATGTGCACGTATGTGAAGGGGATGGCTTGCTTGCTCGCTTGCTCAATGGGACTCTTGAGGAGAAAAGCCCAAGAGACGAAGTGCGCGCATTCACTGCATTCACTGCATTCACTCAGAAATGACAACGCAGCCCACCCCATCTGCACCGGCCCGCACCACACCGTACCGTACCGTGGTCGACGCGATGCACACTGGTAACCAGCACCTCCAGGTACTTGCGGCCCTGGTCGTCCTCCTCCGCGAATGCTACAGTCGATCCGATCCACGACGCCGACTCATCCGCCCCATCCAGCCCATCCGCCCCGTCCTTCTCCCCGCCCCGCCTCTCCCCCGTCTCCCCCCAACCCTCCGCCGTCCCCGCTACCGCTCCGTCCGCCTCGTCTTGCCCCCGACCGACCTGCCCTGTCGTCTTCCTGCCCGCCTGTCGCTCCTCCTCCTCCTCCTCCTCCTCCTCCTCCTCCTCCTCCTCCTCCTCCTCCTCCTCCTCCTCCTCCTCCTCCTCCTCCTTCGCCGCGCTGCCCCTAGTACCCTCGTTCCCCGGCTCTCCCGCTGCTGCTGCGGCGGCCAGCTCGCGCGCTAGTCGATCCACGGCCTCTAGATCTTCCAGGCGGTCCGCGCTAGCATCGATCCGCTCCGCGCCGTTATTTCGGCCCGCATTGCTTCTGCTCGCGGCACTGCCGTCACTACCGTCAAAGCTTTCGCCGCCGCCGCCGCCGCTGCCACCCTGCCCGCCTACCCGATTCGCGGCGGCTCCCGCTACGATTGCGGCGGCGCGCTTGCGGCTCGATCCGCCGCTGCTAATGCTTCCCTCCCGCCCGCCGCCGCCGCGAGCGGTACATCCTCGATCGTGCCCAGGCGCCGATGGAAAGCGGACGGCGGAGATGCGAGAAGACGCGGACTGCGCGCATAGGAGGGGCGTGGGGGGAGGCGGAGGGGAAGCGGACGCGCACGGGGGAAGTGACGGTAGGCGGCTCACGTGGACGGCCATGGCGACGAAACGAGGAACCAGCGATTGGAGGAGAGCTGCCTGAAAACTATGGAGAGCTTCTGTCTCATGCAGATTACCAGCCCGCCTCCAGGAAATCCGCCTTGAGTGCAGATGTGTTTCGCTCAAATGTACGCTTTAGCAACTACTAGCTGAGGATTTTTTCACGACAATATATTATGCAAGTTGAACAAAAGCTTCCCCTAAACCCCCGGATAAGACCGAAGTGTTCGTCTTCTACTATTTCATATTTTGCCCTTGGTGCTCGACCCTCGCGGAACAATCGAGAACTGAGTGAATTGTGGAGAAATGTGATGTGAGACATCCTTTATTAGTGCATATGAAATCCCTAGGTTACAGAACTCCTTTTGCAGATTGAAAGTGTAGCTGTGTGTGGATGAGGTGAACTTAGCGAAGCGCGAGTAATTGGTGTTACGATGGCTGTGCCGCCACCACAATTCGAAGCCACGTATTTAGTGACGTGTCGTGCTCTTTTTCCAGAATCTCTGCTCCATGCTGGCCCGGCGTACGTTGTACAACTCAGGGTGAGCAGGGAGCGGGGCAGACTTTTCGGTCCTGCAGTTCACCTGGGCAGCATAGCGTGGTTTGAAATCCACCAGAAGGAGAGCCAGAACGCGTGAGCCAGCTGGCTTTTGCAACACGGGCATAATCATTTCTGGTTCCTCTGCCACTTTGCTAAGCTCTAGTGGGGACCTCGAACCAAGTAAATACTGTACTTATTCCTCCTGGAGAACCTCCGGGCTGGACAGTTGGTTTCACAATTACATTCGCCGAGCTTCAATGAACCTTCCCCAATGACGTCCCCAAGGCCCCTGTGCACTGTACAGTACAGTACTGTATTCCCTCCAGAGATCATCCCGCCCCGACCAGCACCACCCCAGGCTTCGCTTGATCCAACTAAGAGAGGATCAAGCTGGATCAAGCGCGTCTAGTCACGGAGGATAGGTGAGAGCAGCGCTGGTCCTTCGTGCGCCAAGCTTGTGTGTGTAGCCTGCTCTAACGCTTCATTTCTGTTTCCACGGTTGCCTCTGGCAGGGGACGCGTGCTACTTGCTTGGCGCGCGGTGAAGGTACGAAATGGCTGATGCGAAATGTAGTCGTTGCCCACTTCTCCACATCCGGTTGTCAACGACGCCTCTCTGTTCCTTTTCATCCAGCTAGAAAAAAAGCGCATTGTGCACATCCAGGTAGCCGCGTTGCTCGCGTTGCGCATTCCAGGCCTTTCAGGATGGCTTTTGAGTCGACTCAAAGCGCATTGTGCACAGCCAGGTAGCCGCGTTGTGCATTCCGGGTCTTTCAGGACTCGAGTGCGCTCTTCGCGCCTTCGCCGCACCTGATACGCAATGCTATCACCCCCCCCCACCCCGCTCTCCCCTGTAATGATATGCTCGATAAATCGTGAACCTGGATCTGATTGTGCCTGGAGAATCGGGTGCGTCTTGACTGGCATTGCAGTACCCCGCCAGTGCGGTACACGGGATACCGATAGGCTGTACAAGGCTCATCTGTTCACATTGGTTCATTTCACTCGCATTCACCTACGTTCTTCCACCTACCTACCGCTTGTCGCCTTCCGCTTCCCCTCCACCTTTCCCACCCCAACCCTCACAGGCTACCGCTGCTGCAGCTGCTTTCCGATGCGCTGTCGCTGACGAAGGTTTCCTTCGCTGCTGCTAGTAATTCTGATGGACATTACTACTTCTCACTAATAATAGTGGCCATCGAGAGAAACTAGTGAGAACGCCAACCAGCAGGCGCCCCTGATTGACCTTCGTCAATCTCTGGAAGTTGCGAGGCGCCGGTGGCTGATCCGACGTGGCATCTGCGGTTCCATTTGACCTGATTTTTGTCGTTTAACGCGACAGATACTGCGCGTTGCTAGCCCTTCTCTCCTGCAGCTTCTGCTGCTTCTGCAGCCTCGTCCGACGACTATTTAAGATCCTAGGGGCAATGGCGTCCGTGATAGAGAGACCCTCGTCCAAGTCCACGACTCACGTTCCCCTCCTCCTGTCCGCGCTCTCCCCTGCTGCCTCGTCTGCCGTTTCCGCCGCCGCCGCCGATCCGACGGCTCACATTGATCCTCCCACCAGCAGCGCCGATATCGCCGTGCCTCACGCGTGCACCGGAGCGGGGGTGTGTGAGAGGGAAGGGGGATCGGGGGAGCTGGCGGAACGCGAGGACAAAGCGGGGGCGCGGGAGCGGAGCGAGGAGGGGAGACGCGGGGATGCGGGGGAATGGGATGCGGATGGGGAACCAGGGGGGGGCGGAGTTGCGGGAACGATGGGTGGGGTAGTTGCAGGATCACCAGTCGCAGCAGCAGCAACAGCAGCGGCAGCGGTAGCAGCGGTAGCAGCAGTTGAAACAGTGGCAGGGGAGACAGGAGCAGCAGCGCGCGGAGAGGGAGGCGGGTGGGAGCAGAGAGGGGAGGCGGAGAAGGGGAGAAGTGGCGCGATCTTTCTGGATGGGACGATGAGCGTGACGGATCTGCTGTGTGATGTCTCATTCCAGGTACGTACGTTTGCTGTGCGGTGCTGTGCGGTGCTGTGGGGTGATGCTGATTCGTTTGGTATGGTATGGTTTGGTGTGGTGTGGTGTGGTGTGGTGTGGTGTGGCGTGGTGGTGTGGTGTGGTGTGGTGTGGTGCACAGCATGGTATGGTGGCACTCTACACCACTGACCTACGTCCTTCTGAAGTATGCGTCATACCCATACTTCCCCCCCCAAGACTACCCGTGTCTCATCCCCCATCCCTCCCACGACATCTCCTCTTCTTCCAAAACGCACCCCCACATCCCCCCCTTTTCACACACACCTCCCTCCTCTCCAGGTGTACGTGGGCATCCACTTGCTGGCGCTGCTGGCGCTGCGACTTTTGAGTCGACTCAAAAGTCACGCCCCCCCATCCCCCCCTCTTCACACACGCCTCCCTCCTCTCCAGGTGTACGTTGGCATTCACGTGCTGGCGCTGCTGGCGGTGCTCTTCATCCCGCCCTCGCCGGGTCTGCTGCTGCTCGCGCTGCTCTCCTACGCCCTGCGCATGCTTGGCATCACTGCGGGCTACCACCGCCTGCTCTCGCACAGGTGAGAGAGCCCCGTTGCTGAAGAGCTCCGGCTATCGCCCACAACCCGCACCCACCGCAGTCTACCATCGCCTGCGGGAAAGAAAACACCACTCGTGCGACGATAGTAAAACCGCTGCCTGCCTGCTGTGCTTTCCCGTACGTCCAGCCTGGAGGCGAGCGAGCGAGGCGAACCACTGCTGGTTACCACCACCGCCTGCTTGCTCTCTCACTGGTGAAAGAGGCGGCTTCTGAGTCAACTTGTTGAGCGCCTGCTGTGTGCTACCATGCTACCAACCAAGGCCTTGACTCACGTGTGCTTTGCGTCGACTCAAAACACACTTGTTGAGCGCCTGCTGTGTGGAGTGTGCTACCGACCAAGGCCTTCACTCACGCAGGCTGCACAAAGGAGGGAATGTGACTGGCTGGTCGGTTATATAGGTGGAGTGGAGTAGTGCGGTGCAGTCTGGTTGGGATTGTAGAGGGGAAACTAGCGGGAACTAATTTCTCATTCTTTGCTTATCCTCACCTCGTTTTGTTCTCTGTGTGTGTCTCTCTCGGGCAGGTCGTTCAAGACGTCTCGGGTGGGCCAGTTCCTCTTTGCTCTGCTGGGGTGCCTCTCCTTCCAGAAGGGCCCGCTCTGGTGGGCGTCCCACCACCGCCACCACCACAGGTAACAGCCGACACCTGTATGCCGCCAGCACGGTTACTATTACCAGGACACAGGTGCACGATCACCATCAGCAGGGTTGCCAATGCCAACTTGCCACGCCAGCCATTCCCCGGTTTGCACAGGTATCGCCAGGGCACGTGTTTCCCCTGCACAGCAAGCACCAAGCACCACCACCGTGGGTAACAATAGGTAACACGCCTGCCACTTTCGGAGACTGGTAACAACGCTCCCGTGCAAGTGGCCTTGGCCACTTGCAAAGGCTAGGAAACTCTACGCACGCACCCACCCACTCACACACACACACACACACACACACCCACCCACACACACACACACACCTGACACTCTTTCCCACCCTCCACTCTCTCTCTCTGAATCCTCCTCCTCTCACACATTGTCCCGTCTCCCCTGCCCCCCCACAGCGCAGCGGACACAGCAGCTTCTTTGGCGACTAGGACCCCCTGCCCCCCACCATCCAACAAACCTCTCCTCTCCCCACCACTTCTGCCCTGGCTCCCTGCTCCCCTGCCCCCCTCACCCCCTACCCCCCCTGCCCCCTGCCCCTGCCCCTTGCCCCCCTGCTCCCCTTCCCCCCTCACCCCCTGCCCACCTGCCCCAATGCCCCAATGCCCCCATTGCAGAACCGCGGACACAGCAGCGGACGCGCACAGCCCCCTGCAGTGGGGCTTCTTCTGGTCGCACATGGGCTGGTGAGGGGAGGGGGGAGGGAGAGGGGGAGCAGGGCGGAAGGGTGTGGGCGCACGGGGGAAGGGGGGACTTAGGCACAGTGGGGATAGGCACGTCGGGGATAGTCACGGTATGTTTCGTTGCTAGAAATGCAGTTGCCCTCTCAGTGCTTAGCGATGTATGTGGTCGGCCCACTGCCAAGACCCTCCCCCTTGCCTCGTCCCTCCTTCCTTTCCTCTCTTCCCTAAGCACTGACTTCTTGTGTACATGTGTGTGTGTGTGTGTGTGTGTGTGTGTGTGTGTGTGTGTGTGTGTGTGTGTCCCTTTGTGTGTGTCCCGTGCGTGTGTGTGTGTGTGCGTGTGGGTGGGGATGGAGTGTGGGGTGAGTGTGTATGAGCAGGTTTCTGTGCTCCACTCGCCATACCGATGTGCTGTGGCATGCCATCCCGGACCTCTCCCCTTTCCCGGAGCTGCACTGGCTCGACAAGTAAGAGTCACACGCACGCACGTACACACACATACACACACATGCACGCACATACACGCACACATAGGCATGCATGCACACATAGTCCACTCCCCCCCCCCCCCCCCACCTCTTCTTGACAAACTCCAACTTTCTTTCCTCACCCCCCCTCTCCCCTTTCTTTCCTCACCCCCCCTCCCCTTGCTTTCCTCACCCCCCTCTCCCCTTTCTTTCCTCACCCCCTCTCCCTTTCTTTCCTCACCCCCCCTCTCCCTTTCTTTCCTCACCCCCTCTCCCCTTTCTTTCCTCACCCCCCCTCTCCCTTTCTTTCCTCACCCCCCTCTCCCATTCTTTCCTCACCCCCCTCTCCCCTTTCTTTCCTCACCCCCCTCTCCCCTTTCTTTCCTCACCCCCCCTCTCCCCTTTCTTTCCTCACCCCCCCCCCCCCCCCCCCCCCTCTCCCCTTTCTTTCCTCACCCCCCCTCTCCCCTTTCTTTCCTCACCCCCCCTCTCCCTTCTTTCCTCACCCCCCTCTCCCCTTTCTTTCCTCACCCCCCCTCTCCCCTTTCTTTCCTCACCCCCCCTCTCCCCTTTCTTTCCTCACCCCCCCTCTCCCCTTTCTTTCCTCACCCCCCCTCTCCCCTTTCTTTCCTCACCCCCCTCTCCCCTTTCTTTCCTCACCCCCCCTCCCCTTGCTTTCCTCACCCCCCTCTCCCTTTCTTTCCTCACCCCCCCTCCCCCTTCTTTTCCTCACCCCCCCTCTCCCCTTCTTTCCTCACCCCCCTCTCCCCTTCTTCCTCACCCCCCTCTCCCCTTTCTTTCCTCACCCCCCCTCTCCCCTTTCTTTCCTCACCCCCTTTCTTTCCTCACCCCCCCTCTCCCCTTTCTTTCCTCACCCCCCTCTCCCCTTTCTTTCCTCACCCCCCCTCTCCCCTTTCTTTCCTCACCCCCCCTCTCCCCATTCTTCCTCACCCCCCTCTCCCCTTTCTTTCCTCACCCCCCCTCTCCCCTTTCTTTCCTCACCCCCCTCTCCCCTTTCTTTCCTCACCCCCCCTCCCCTTGCTTTCCTCACCCCCCTCTCCCCTTTCTTTCCTCACCCCCCTCTCCCCTTTCTTTCCTCACCCCCCCTCTCCCCTTTCTTTCCTCACCCCCTCTCCCCTTTCTTTCCTCACCCCCCCTCTCCCCTTTCTTTCCTCACCCCCCTCTCCCTTTTCTTTCCTCACCCCCCTCTCCCCTTTCTTTCCTCACCCCCCTCTCCCCTTTCTTTCCTCACCCCCCTCTCCCCTTTCTTTCCTCACCCCCCCTCTCCCCTTTCTTTCCTCACCCCCCTCTCCCCTTTCTTTCCTCAGCCCCCCCCCCTCTCCCCTTTCTTTCCTCACCCCCCCTCCTCCTTTTCTTTCCCTCACCCCCCTCTCCCCTTTCTTTCCTCACCCCCCTCTCCCCTTTCTTTCCTCACCCCCCCTCTCCCCTTTCTTTCCTCACCCCCCTCTCCCCTTTCTTTCCTCCACCCCCCCTCTCCCCTTTCTGTCCTCACCCCCCCCCTCTCCCCTTTCTTTCCTCACCCCCCTCTCCCCTTTCTTTCCCACCCCCTTTCTTTTCCTCACCCCCCTCTCCCCTTTCTTTCCTCACCCCCCCTCCTCCCCCTTTCTTTCCTCACCCCCCCTCTCCCCTTTCTTTCCTCACCCCCCCCCTCTTCCCCTTTCTTTCCTCACCCCCCTCTCCCTTTTCCTTCCTCACCCCCCTCTCCCCTTTCTTTCCTCACCCCCCTCTCCCCTTTCTTTCCTCACCCCCCTCTCCCCTTTCTTTCCTCACCCCCCTCTCCCCTTTCTTTCCTCACCCCCTCTCCCCTTTCTTTCCTCACCCCCCTCTCCCCTTTCTTTCCTCACCCCCCCTCTCCCCTTTCTTTCCTCACCCCCTCCCCCCTCTCCCCCTTTCTTTCCCTCACCCCCCCTCTCCCTTTCTTTCCTCACCCCCCTCTCCCTTTCTTTCCTCACCCCCCTCTCCCCTTTCTTTCCTCACCCCCCTCTCCCCTTTCTTTCCTCACCCCCTCTCCCCTTTCTGTCCTCACCCCCCTCTCCCCTTTCTTCCTCACCCCCCCTCTCCCTTTCTTTCCTCACCCCCCCCCCCTTTCTTCCTCACCCTTTCTTTCCTCACCCCTCTCCCTTTCTTTCCTCACCCCCTCTCCCTTTCTTTCCTCACCCCCCCCCCTCCCCCTTTCTTCCTCACCCCCCCTCTCCCCTTTTCTTTCCTCACCCCCCCTCTCCCCTTTCTTTCCTCACCCCCCTCTCCCCTTTCTTTCCTCACCCCCCCTCTCCCCTTTCTTTCCTCACCCCCCCTCTCCCTTTCTTTCCTCACCCCCTCTCCCCTTTCTTTCCTCACCCCCCCTCTCCCCTTTCTTTCCTCACCCCCCCTCTCCCTTTCTTTCCTCACCCCCCTCTCCCTCTTCCCCCCCCTCTCCCTTTCTTTCCTCACCCCCCTCTTTCTTTCCTCACCCCCCCTCTCCCCTTTCTTTCCTCACCCCCCCTCTCTCCCTTTCTTTCCTCACCCCCCCTTCCCCTTTCTTTCCTCACCCCCTCTCCCTTTTCTTTCCTCACCCCCTCTCCCTTTCTTTCCTCACCCCCCTCTCCCCTTTCTTTCTCACCCCCCTCCCCTTTCTTTCCTCACCCCCCTCTCCCCTTTCTTTCCTCACCCCCCTCTCCCCTTTCTTTCCTCACCCCCCTCTCCCCTTTCTTTCCTCACCCCCTCTCCCCTTTCTGTCCTCACCCCCACCCTCTCTCCTTTCTTTCCTCACCCCCCTCTCCCCTTTCTTTCCTCACCCCTTTCTTTCTCACCCCCCCTCTCCCCTTTCTTTCCTCACCCTCTCCCCTTTCTTTCCTCACCCCCCTCTCCCTTTCTTTCCTCACCCCCCCCCTCTCCCCTTTCTTTCCTCACCCCCCTCTCCCTTTTTTTCCTCACCCCCCCTCTCCCTTTCTTTCCTCACCCCCCCTCTCCCTTTCTTTCTCACCCCCTCTCCCTTTCTTTCCTCACCCCCCTCTCCCTTTCTTTCCTCACCCCCCTCTCCCCTTTTTCCTCACCCCCCTCTCCCCTTTTCTTTCCTCACCCCCCTCTCCCTTTCTTTCCTCACCCCCCCCCCTCTCCCCTTTCTTTCCTCACCCCCCTCTCCCTTTTCTTTCCTCACCCCCCCTCTCCCCTTTCTTTCCTCACCCCCTCTCCCTTTCTTTCCTCACCCCCCTCTCCCCTTTCTTCCTCACCCCCGCTCTCCCCTTTCTTTCTCACCCCCCTCTCCCCTTTCTTTCCTCACCCCCTCTCCCTTTCTTTCCTCACCCCCCCTCTCCCCATTCTTTCCTCAACCCCCCTCTCCCCTTTCTTTCCTCACCCCCCTCTCCCCTTTCTTTCCTCACCCCCCTCTCCCCTTTCTTTCCTCACCCCCCTCCTTGCTTTCCTCACCCCCCTCTCCCCTTTCTTTCCTCACCCCCTCTCCCCTTTCTTTCCTCACCCCTTTCTTTCCTCACCCCTCTCCCCTTTCTTTCCTCACCCCCCTCTCCCCATTCTTTCCTCACCCCCCTCTCCCCTTTCTTTCCTCACCCCCCTCTCCCTTTCTTTCCTCATCCCCTCTCCCCTTTCTTTCCTCACCCCCCTCCCCTTGCTTTCCTCACCCCTCTTCCCCTTTCTTTCCTCACCCCCCTCTCCCTTTCTTTCCTCACCCCCTCTCCCTTTCTTTCCTCACCCCCCTCTCCCTTTCTTTCCTCACCCCCTCTCCCCTTTCTTTCCTCACCCCCCCTCTCCCTTTCTTTCCTCACCCCCCCTCTCCCTTTCTTTCTCACCCCCCCTCTCCCTTTTCTTTCCTCACCCCCCTCTCCCTTTCTTTCCTCACCCCCCTTTCTTTCCTCACCCCCCCTCTCCCCTTTCTTTCCTCACCCCCCCTCTCCCCTTTCTTTCCTCACCCCCTCTCCCCTTTCTTTCCTCACCCCTCTCCCTTTCTTTCCTCACCCCCTCTCCCTTTCTTTCCTCACCCCCTCTCCCCTTTCTTTCCTCACCCCCCCTCTCCCCTTTCTTTCCTCACCCCCCTCTCCCCTTTCTTTCCTCACCCCCCCCCTCTCCCCTTTCTTTCCTCACCCCCCTCTCCCTTTTCTTTCTCACCCCCCTCTCCCCTTTCTTTCCTCACCCCCCTCTCCCCTTTCTTTCCTCACCCCCTCTCCCCTTTCTTTCCTCACCCCCCCTCTCCCTTTCTTTCCTCACCCCCTCTCTCCCTTTCTTTCCTCACCCCCCCCCCCTCTCCTTCTTTCGTCACCCCCCTCTCCCTTTTCTTTCCTCACCCCCCTCTCCCCTTTCTTTCCTCACCCCCCCTCTCCCTTTCTTTCCTCACCCCCCTCTCCCTTTCTTTCCTCACCCCCCTCCCCTTTCTTTCCTCACCCCCCCTCTCCCTTTCTTTCCTCACCCCCCTCTCCCTTTCTGTCCTCACCCCCCCCTCTCCCCTTTCTTTCCTCACCCCCCTCTCCCCTTTCTTTTCCTCACCCCCTCTCCTTTTCTTTCCTCACCCCCCCTCTCCCTTTCTTTCCTCACCCCCCTCTCCCTTTTCTTTCTCACCCCTCTCCCCTTTCTTTCCTCACCCCCTCTCCCTTTTCTTTCTCACCCCCTCTCCCTTTCTTTCTCACCCCCCTTTCTTTCCTCCCCCCCTCTCCCCTTTCTTTCCTCACCCCCCTCTCCTGCTTTCCCTCACCCCCTCTCCCCTTTCTTTCCTCACCCCCTCTCCCTTTTTTCCTCACCCCCCCTCTCCCCTTTCTTTCCTCACCCCGCTCTCCCCTTTCTTTCCTCACCCCCTCTCCCCTTTCTTTCCTCACCCCCCTCTCCCCATTCTTTCCTCACCCCCCTCTCCCCTTTCTTTCCTCACCCCCCCTCTCCCCTTTCTTTTCCTCACCCCCCCTCTCCCCTTTCTTTCCTCAACCCCCCCTCTCCCTTTCTGTCCTCACCCCCCCCCTCTCCCCTTTCTTTCCTCACCCCTCTCCCCTTTCTTTCCTCAC